ATGCCCACACCATAGGGTGAGCTGAATCCTTTCCAGTCATGCATCTGTTTGATGTTAATAACATGCTGTTAGTAACATCTTCTGCTTTCAGAGTGAACCTTTGTTTTCACAGAATTAATCAGGTTGGAGAAGACCTCTGAGGTCATCAAGTCCAAACCATGACCTAACACCATCATGGCAACTAGACCATGGCACTAAGTGCAACATTCGGTCTGTCCTTAAAGAATCCTTTCCAGTCATGCATCTGTTTGATGTTAATAACATGCTGTTAGTAACATCTTCTGCTTTCAGAGTGAACCTTTGTTTTCACAGAATTAATCAGGTTGGAGAAGACCTCTGAGGTCATCAAGTCCAAACCATGACCTAACACCATCATGGCAACTAGACCATGGCACTAAGTGCAACATTCGGTCTGTCCTTAAACACCTCTAAGGACTCCACCACCTCCCTGGGCAGCACATTCCAGTGTTTTGCCTGTTGTCTTTCCACCTCCTTCTTTTGCTCCTTTTATTTTGGGTGCTGCTTAAATATTAAATAAAACACTGGCTGTGCCCAAAGGACCTTTTGTGAGTAGCCACCTGTGCAGCTCATAATCTTTTTTATGGATGGGAATCCATTTCCTTCACTTCCAAATCTTAATAGGAGGTCAGATGGACCCTTTGACATAGATGACAACTAGACCAGGTTGGATGGGGCTCGGAGCAACCTGCTTTAGTGGAAGGTGTCCCTGCCCATGGAAGGGGGTGGAACTAGATGATCTTTAAGGTCGCTTCCAACCCAAACCATTCTGTGAATCTGTGATAACTAAAACAGATGATTCTGGTGGTTTCTTTTGAAGTTTTTTGTTTATTCTCTACAGAGTAGCTGGTAAATTCCTGTCCTGTTAGAGGACATCAGCAGTCCAGCACATTTTTTACTGGTATTCAGAAGCATTTTTAAAAAGTAGCCTGTAAATTTCAAGCGATTCAGACACCTGTGTGACTGTTAACTGTTTCCTGTTGTGCTGCATCTCAGTATGTTCACTAGACCAGGTTGCTCCAAGCCCCATCCAACCTGGCCTGGAACACTTCCAGGGTTGGGGCAGCCACAGCTTCTCTGGGCATCATCATCAGTGTCTCACCACCCTCACAGTAAAGAATTTCTTCTGTATATATGTAACCTAAATTTCCAAATGCCATCTGATGTCGTTTGGTTTCCCAATTGAGTGCACAGGCAGAGTGACTAACCACAGTGCTTTGGGGGATGATAAACTGCTCTCACAAGTGAGACAGTAACTGAACATGTTGCATCACATTTGAAGCTCAGGAGTGGATGGAATGCACATTCCTGTGGACTGATCCCCCTTCGGGTCCTCTGGTGTTGTGACAGCTTTGAGTGTGTGAAAAGTGATTGTTAAAAGCTGCTGAAACAGTAGCTGCTTGATTAAAAACAAATAAACACATCTTGCTGTATCCTCTCTGCTTTTGGTGAAGCTTTTCTGCTATAAAACCAGTTGATTCAGCAAATACTTCTACCCTGTGTTTATGTTCTTGTCAGCATGTTCAGGTTTATTCAGTACACATCAAATGCAGGTTTAGTGCATTGTTAACCGTTCAAGCTCTGCTGAATCACAGGCTGTGTCTGCATCAGTCTCTTGTCTGTTGTCGGATGAAACTCCATGCACTAAAAAAAACTTGGAGGAAATGGTACTTAAGGGATCACATCAGATGCTTCAAACAGGAGGAAAGTAAATGCTCCTGAACAAAAGCATGTTTGATCCAGGACTGGGAAAAGGCTTTAAAAGCCTTGCTTAGGTTTCTGACTAACCTCTGGCTCAGGTAATCTTAATATAGATGAAATCTGAACAGAGCCTCAGGTAGAAGAGTGTCATAGATGGTGTTTGCCAGAAATAATTTTCTATGTAATAATACCAGTACTGAGCTGTTCATTTTGGAGTAATAACTGCTAGAGCTGAGTTGCTCAACCATTGTGTTGGGAACTCCCCTTAACCCACTATTTAAAATATAAATCAAGTTATTTTAAGCTTCAGTAAAATTGCAGAAGCAACTGCGTCAAGTCTGAGTATCTCCTGGTGCTCTGTGGGGTGTAGGAAGGGGGAACCCTTTTGATCATCTCACTAGTCAGCAGCAATTTTCTGAGGCCCAGTTCAGCAGTCAACCTCATGTTAGCTTCCACCTCCTGGAAACAACCACCTACACAGCTCATTCACATTTGTTTCTCATGTATTCCAGTGGCTTAACCATAGCCTCGTACAGCATCTTGGAATTAGTAAAACAAGAGTGTTTCAAACCTAATTCTGCATGTAAAGAAGGAGTCGTCTAGTTCATCCATGTGCTTCTTTCATAGCAGCTTTTTGGGGTCCTAAAAGAATGGAACAGGTGCTCTGGAGAGATCTGCCAACCAAAGATCCTGGCACAGCCCAACCAAACTTGTCCTGGCTTGCAAGTGTGTGACCTGAAGTCAGCATCAAGCGTGACAGCACAGTATCAATTAGTTTACCCAAAAAGGGATCCATGTGTGGAGGTTTTTCATTTTGATCCTGACATCTGATCACATACTTTGTGTGGAGTTGCAGAAAGTGAGGCAAAGATTTCTCTTTGAGTGTCAAGGTCAGTCCACAATTCTTGTGGTGGGATCAAGGACTCATTTAGATCAGCAAATAAAGTGAGCTCGTGTTCCTGAGCTTTGTGCGGGGAGAAATTGCAGCCTTTAAAAGGTCTTTAGTTTTCCTTGGCCCCTGAGAGAGCAGAAATAGCATTTGCACAGCCTTTGAGCATAAGTCTTTTATATTTCACAGTTGCAGAAATCATCTCTGTAAACAACCAATTGTCATACAACAGGGAACTGTTTCCATGTCGTTTTCCTGCAGTCAGACCCAAGATTTACATTTCAGAGAATTATTTTTTTTCCTTCTTCCCTTAAAGGTTAGTTCAGTCAGGCTAGAACCAGTGGATGAGTGACATGTCTGAATCCCACTTTTTTCAATGGATATCCATTGTGCAAAGCTTACTGGTAACTGGAAAGAAAGTCTCTGCAAGCAAGTGTTCAGCAGATCTGTAATGGCAACCATCAGCACAATTTATGTGTGAGAGAAAATACCTCTTTTAATTGTGGAAAGCAGTGAATATTTATGAAAAGCTTTTCAAAAGATCAAGGAAATTTTTACTTCTGCCTTCACTTGAGTATGTGTTTGCTTTGTTACTTCTGCTCTGTGGCTTTGGCAGCCTCATTTGATTTTATTTTTTTTGCCTTTTCCCATCTAATAGGTCTTGTCTGGAGTGTGTGTGTGTGTCTCCTTTTCAGCTGCTGCTGCTTTCCTAGGCAGCACTGAAGTTTCTCCAAGGGACTTTTCTCAGACAATTTCAAATTTGTCATTTATGCAATGTTGCAGAGGAAGAGGAAGCTGAGGAGGTGCCGGAATTTCAGGTGTCTGCGAAAATTGGAGCAAAAAAGCAGAGGAAATTAGAAGAGAAACAAGCCAGAAAGGCACAGAGAGAGGTAAGCATTTCCTGCCATGTATCAAGCCCAGAGCAGAGCCTGAATGGCTGTGCTCAGCAAGCAGCTAGGGGTGACAGACACCCCAGAAAGGCAAAGGCAGTGTCATCACTACAAGTGTTATATTTAAAAAATGCAAATTCAGCTTTTTCTCTCATAGCCCAAGAGGTCCATGGAAAATGGTGTCAGTTCTCTGTCAGCCTCATGGAGAGGAAAGAAGTTCAGCTCTTGAATACTCTTTATTGGATGTTTCCACTGGTTTGAAGCTAATGTCAGAACTGTCTCCCCTTAAAAATACACTCAAACCCACACAGTGCTGTTGTAGCAGTGTGACCAGATCTGTGGGCAGATGTGAGTGGTGTTTCATGTGCTCTCAGAGTGCAAAAACTTGGTGTGGCTTTATCTGTGCTTAGAGAATCACAGAATATTCTGAGTTGAAAAGGACCATAAGGGTCATCTATGTATTGTTTTTATGGATTGGGGGAGATGAAGGGCATTTTGCTGTTAATTCCAGGGAAGCCAGAGGCTTTTTGCAACTCTCTGAAGTGTGCTGGTGAAAGGCAGCAGGTTATGCATTAATTAATTAATTATGCATTAATTCCTTTGAGGAGGTCTGTTTTTTTTTTTTTGCAAACTCTGTATTGTTCTGTAATTTGGAAGGTGGAGCTACAGGTACAGCTCAAACAGCCTTTGCATAGCAAAGGTTGGAGTGCAGGGCAACCCTGATACATCATCCAAAGATAGGATTTATGAAACTATGAATGCCTTTAATGTGCAGAGAGTTCAGAACTTGCAGAATCCCAGCTTGGGAATTTCAGTGTCACCTGAGGTTTAAATCCGGTGTCTGCTTCGCACTGTAGGGGTACATGCCCTGTAGACAGGGCAGGTGGTAATAAAGTGAATTATTATGTTCTATATGAACCTCCATGACAAACCTTTTCTCACTCACCCAATGATTTCACCATTTTATTGTTACTTTACATATTCATTCTGTTTAATTTGCCTCTTTTCTGTGGAAAGTCTGAGCAAAGTTGAGTGAAGTTAGATGAGCACCAGTTGGTGGAGTGAGGAATCTTTTGGTTCTTTTTAAGCCATGCCGATTTTTATTTTGCTGTGTAGACATAAATTCCTTCAGATTTTTCTCTGAAACACTCAAACCCACAAATCCTCCATTGGATGTTTTCTGCTTGTTCTCTTAATATGTTTTCAGAAGTATACTCAAGAGACTGAAGTAAAAAAATCTTTTAAAAATACACTAAATACCCTTTTTATTATCCCCTCATTTTGAAACAATCTCTTTGGCTTAAAAACAAATAATAAAATGATTTGAAGGGACCAGTACAGCTTTTGCTTTCAGAGAATCAGCCCAGGTTAATGATAAATTTGAATGCACTTATTTTTACAGAGTTTACATTCCAAATCCTTCTTTTCTTCTCCTTAGGGTCCATTTTAACTCAATTTTAAGCGAGGAGAAATGGAATTCTGCAGCACAATATTGCTTTATATCACTCTGGGAATAAGCTCATATGCACATTCAAAACTTAAACCCTTATTGAGATACAGATAAGGGATGTGAGAAGGTAATTTCTAAACCTACCACAAGGCTAAGTGTGCTGCAGGGGAGGAGAAGCTAAATGATAATGACTTTTAATCATGATTCTTTTTAATGTTTGCATCTAGGAAGGTGGTAAGAAACCCCCTCATGGTATCACCATGTAAATTAATATCTGTTCAGGAAGAGTAAGGCTTGGCTTGCATAATGTTTTTTTAGGCTGAAGAAGCAGAGAGAGAAGAAAGGAGAAAACTGGAGTCAAAAAGAGAGGAGGAAAGGAAGAAAGAAGAGGAGAGACAACGTCTGGAGGAGGAACGACAGGTGGGATTAGTTGTATCTGTTGATGGAAATCTTGAACCAGGTTTGTCTCTGAGATTGTTTCTGTCTAAGTTCTGTGATCAGGGACCTGTAGGGACCACCTGGTCTGTCCTGCTCAAACCATGTCCAGGTTGCTCAGGAATTTGGTCAGACCAGCCCTGAGTGTCTCTGAAGGAAGGAGAGTTCACAACTTCACTGCTCCCCTGTTCCATCTGAGCTGTCTACTGCCAGCTGGAACCAGCAGGGCAGAAAGTGAAAGTCATCAGCAACTGATTTTGCAACTGTTGTGTGAAATTGTGTAATTCTATTCTAATTACACAATTTGCATGTGGTTCTCAATCAAAGATTTCTAAACTTTGCATACAAAGGTGAGCGCTAGCAGGGGTGACCCAGAAAAACAAGTACTGCTCAGCTGAAATGCTTTGGTTGAATGTTTTTCATCAGTGAGGGTGGAAAAGTTACTTTACAGCTGCTTTATGTGCTCTGGGCATTGGTGCTGCTGGCTGAGAACTGGCAATGAGCTTCATGCTCTGGTGCTGGAGCAAGTGGTGTGGGAGCTTTGCTTCTGAAGGCAAGGCCCGAGGTGTTCTGCACAGTCCTGTGCTGAGTGATGGCTGCCCCAGGGGAGCACAGCCCTCAGCTTTCACTGTGAAGCTTTTGGGAGACTTATGTGCATGGAAATTTGTCTGTGGTTTGTAGGGAGCAGATTTATTATCATTGGTTCTAAGTGCAGGCTGTGTAAGTGGAGTGTGTTGCTGGTAACTTCTGAAAAGAAGAAAAGATAAACAAAATTACTACGTTACAGTGCACATTGTAGCCATGAGATCTTTATGTCCATTTACCTCTAGGGTTATCCCCTCTCAAAAAATCCTTTGTCTCCTGAATTCTTTTGTTTCCTTTTCATCAATAGAAATCTCCTGAATTTCAGAAATTGAAGTAGAGGAGGAGAATGTCAGTACTACAACATCAGGATATATTGCATAGTCTGAGACTTTGATTTGTAAAGCAGGTTGAACAAACTTTCAGGGGACCAATGATTCCACATCCCCTTCCCACACCCTGCGGTAGCACCAGCTCTGCCTCGTGGGCCCTGTGACCACTCTGCTCTTCTCCTAAGTATTTCCAATTTCTCCCCTCGTAATTCCAGCTTTGAAAGAGGCAGGTTGGCCTCTGATTGCCTCTAAAGCACATTTCCCTCCAGGAGTTTATTCTTTTAGGTATTTTGTCTCTACACAGTTCCCTGATTATTTTTTAGTGTTCTGGGAATTTAATATCCTTGAAACCCTGAAGAGTTAGTTGAAATGAACCAAATTACTCCCATACTTGGGAGGAACTAGAAGGACACGCTAGCTGGACACTAACATTGTTAAAGTGTCACTTTCAGTGGCACTGGACCTTCCAGTTCCTCCCAAGGTGGCAGCCAGCACAGCAGGTGAATTGCTGAGCAAATGCAGCTGAGCTTGGCCAACCTGCTCCAAAGAAGCTGCAGCACAGGACAGAGATGTTATCCTGTGGGTTTGACCTGGGGTTAGCAGTCAGCTGGAGAATCAGGATCAGGCAGGCAGGCTTGAAAAGCTGAGGAGAAAATAAGGGTGAAATTCTACCTGGAGATCTTTTCACACTGAAAGTGCTTATTAATACATTTTTTGCACTTTTTTATTTTTAATTTGCTTCAGTTCAGTTTAGGCCTCTGTAATTTATTTTGGTTGAATGAGGAAGCTCTTATTTATTTTTACTTTAATTTTCAGTATTTCTAGCAAAGACTGCACTAAAAAACTTCCATCTCCATTTCACAAGGTTCAGTGAAAAAGAGGCTCTGATTTTTTGTTTGTTTGCTTTGATTTTTAAGTCTTGTGCACAGCAATCCAAAGGAGCTTTGGAAAATTGCTCAAATGCCTGAATCTACCTTGCTGTTCACTTTAGTCAGTGCCTTCCTCAGCTGCTTAAATTCTCTGATTTTAAGCTATTTTAGTTTGGTTTGATTTTCCCAGTATTTATCAGGGCAGTAAGCCAACCCACCAGGCCACACCATGAACATTATTCTGCTGCTCAAAGGAAAATGCTTTCAATATTTTATTTTTCCCTTGTGTCTGGGTTGAAAATTCAGTAACTACTGAACGCTTTGAGTGTGGATCAAAGTAAATGTTTCTGACAATATTTAATGTCCATCCTCAACTGACTTCTAGTAATTTTAAGTCTGTCTGCATCCAAATCTTTAACAGGAAACAGAACAATTCTAGACTTGTCCATGTTTAGGCTGTGTTGCTCCAGTCCCTGCTTCAGTCAGCAGAGACAGCAGTATCACAGGGAGCGTGATCACAACAGACCTTCAGTGTCTTAGTCTTAACAGGGTGATGGGAGGGGAAACAAACTGAATGAATAGAGACTTCATCACTGGGTCTGTAAGTATAGACTGTCTTTATGATCATAACATCTTTCTGATGAGACACTGTATGGTGGATAAGATGCTGCCTCTCTCCTAGGCCTCTGTAAGCAGATAATGGGTGTATTGTGGGTTTGTAGAATGCATAGGATAAAACGTCATTTACACATTCCTCTAGAGAAGGAATTCTTCATTCCTACAAGTAATGTTTTGTCACCAGTAAGGCCGTGTGGACTACACATGTAATGATACTGTTCCCCCTCTAAGTTAGGAGATGAAAAGGCAAAATTCTGAAAGATAAGTCAAGTAGTGATTGATAGTCATGAGACAAAAAACAGGGAGTAGGTGGTTGCATGGGTTTTGGAGGCAGTTTGATTACTGACATTGCTGTAGTTGATAAAATCCCACAAGGCACAAGAAATTGAGAGTTTATCACTAAAGTTTGCCTGAGAAATGTTACAGTTGTCAGAGAGCCTCATTTTCCTTTCCTTTTCCAGTCCATCAGAGTATTTCTGTATGTTCAATGAGTGGCAAGTCCTTAAACAAGCAAAATCCACTTGAACCTTTATTTCAGGCCCTCTCCCAAGAAGTGCTACCAAAATTGTGCTAACAGGTGGGAACTGTATCTCCAAGGGAGTTATGCAGGCTAAAGTGTTGCATATTCTTGAGAAAAATACCCTCCTGTTTCTATTTAACTGTATTTATATGCACTTACAAATAAAATGTGGTTGCCCCTTGGCTTCAGTGTTGCAAACCAGATAATATATTTTTAAATTCAAGTTTCCTTTCCAGTGCTCTGCTGACCTGATTGGCTACAGGCCTGAGGAAGCTCCTTTATAATTGGCATTTGCCTCAGCTCTGCTTTACCCTGGGGATTTCCCTTTCACTCTTGGAGTTTTTTGGTGGTGAGATGGTTTACCAACTGACACCTTATCAATGAGAACTTCCTCTGATGTTGCAAAACACTGTCTTCACACAAAGTCCTGCAGATTGCTCTCATAAGAGCTCTTCTTCCTTTGCCTGTGCCCATGGGTTTTTGTAAATTTGCATTTAAATGCCTAAATAAAAATGGTCTAGATTGTCAGAGCTGTAGAAGTGGAGGATCAGCCATGATCATGAGGGTCATCTTGAAGCTTTTGAGAAGTAAGACCCGAAAGTTTTGGCTCTTTGATTTGATATTTGTAGAAGAGGCACCAAGTTTTAGTTATTTCATTATGTCAAGCATTATGTGAATATTGAGATTTCAGAGCTTCTCAGCAGAGCTTTTCAGTTAGTGTTTGGCATTTATATCCTTTATTTCTGCATGAACAGAAATAAAGGATATTTGGAGGCTGATGGAGACTACACCATAATTTCAGTTTAAGCATCAGTTTACAGGTGTGTGTACTTTCCTGAAAATTAATTTCTCCTAAGGAATTAGTTGAAAAGCTTGCAGAAAACTCATTCTACTCTGGTCTTGAGGGGATGAGGACTGGTAAGAACACTTACTCTATCCAAGCAGTGAGGGACACAGGAATCCTACAGATCCATCTGCTCTCTGCCAAATTATTTACTGTAAAGTCCCTTTTTGATTCCTGCAGAACCTGCACTAACAGCACAAAACCTAGATGTTATTCAAGGAAGGTTTCTTTGGTCCAGGCACCTCAGAGCACTTGGCATGGGAAGCAGTGTGCTTTCCTCATCCTGCTTGTTAGGGAAACAGCCACAAAGAAATGAGAGGTAGCAGGTGGTGGTCAAAGAGCATCCTGTGTTTGCTCTGCCTTCCTTACTAGCAGTGAGATCTTTTCCACTCAAGCAGCATCCCAGAATTCCAGAGCAATTTATGATCCCAGAAATCCAGGTGTGCTTCCATCTGTAAGCCTGAAAGAGTTTACAGGGTGCTGTGGGTTTCACCTGGTCAAAGGTTGGGCTCTTGTGCAGTTGGAACCGTGAATGTGCATGGAAATAATCCCTGTAATCCAGGTAAGAGGCAAATAAAAGGCAATGATCTGAAAGGAGCCTCACAGCAAATCCAGGTCCTTGGTGGCCAGATGGGACTTGGGAGTTGGACTGGGACCAGTGGGAAGTTGGTGCTGATCAGATCTGGTATAGAAGGAGTAAGAATGCTGTGTCTCCCAGTAGTGTGCTGGAGATCTACAGACTGCATGGAGCTCTGGAAGCTCTTGGGTCTCACATGAGGCTCATAACAAGCCAGCAGAGGTAGAGTCAATCCAGCAGTCATAATGTGGACATTTGGTTGGAAAAGGGAGAGAAAGAAGAAAGATTTGAGTGATTCATTTATTTTCTTCAATAAAGACATGATCAAAGTGGGCAAGTTTGTTCTTCACGTGCAGTGTGCTAAACATCAAAACCAGTTCTTCACACTGTACAAACCCCCAGTTTGGGTAACATTTAGGAGGATGAGGACAGAAACAAAGCTGCTTCAAAATAATTGAAAAATAAAGGGAGGCAGCTGAAGGTGAGCATCTGCAGTCACCAAATTTCCATGCTGCTGGGGTTTCCCCAGCACCCCACCCATGGCTGGGGGCAGGTGGCCCAGCCATTCTCTCTGCCCTGAGCCACATCTGCACCACAGAACTCAGCAGCAGCTCTGAGATCACAGTGGGGAGGGGTGAACAAACCCGACAAACAAAGATGTGGGTTTTTTAATGTCTATTTGAGCCCAGTGCCCTCTGTGTGACTTGCACAAAGCAAGTCCTGAGCTTTGTTCTGTGAGTAGACCCTGAGGGGGCTGAGACTGTTTCCGTGTGGGTTATGCACACAGACACACTGGGGTTTGTGGGAATGTAACCTGCCTAAATTTGACCCTTCATGCAACTGCTGCATGAGTTGAGCATGTGAAAGAAGAGTGCTGACCTGATGGTGGAAAAAAAAAAAGGCTGAGAATAAACGCTACCAGACAGCCTGGACTGCACTAGGCTTCCCCTGCTCAGCCTCCACTGCTGTTGCTCATTGCTTCTCCCCATGCAGTTGTGCAAAGTCATTTCTCCTCTTGGCTCTGAACTAGCTTACAGTTTGGCTAAATCTTTTTTCTCTCCATCTTGAATCATAGGTGAATTTAGGTAGTAAAGGACATGAGGCTGTTCACGGATTTTTAGTTAATTAGATTAAAAAGCATCTGGAAATACTTAGTGTTATGGAAGAGGCTACAAGCACCAGAAAGCTTTGAGAGCTGACACACTTTAGCTACCAAAGCAGTGGCTTAGACCACCTGCAAGTGCTCTGCTAATGGAAATTTAGGATCTGGAGAACAGACTCCTGTTGGGTTTTAAGCAAAAGAGGAGCTGGTAGCTGAGTGCTTTGCCCATCTCACAGCAGAGCTGCCTTTCTGTGAGTGTTGGAAGTGCTGACAGGGACGTGTTGGGATGGTCTAACAAAATTGAAGGTGCTGTTCTTCAGACAGGGAAGACAGGAAAGAGCCTTGTTCATTTGTTAGACCTTCCCGAAACAGGAAAATAGATTTCAGTTATTGTTGCAGTTACAAGTGCCACATTGTCTTTTCATCAGTTATATTTTTTGTAGAATCAATTTTTGTAGAACCAATTATTTACCAAAGCAATTTTCAGGTTTTGTGATTATTTTTCCCCTCATTTCAAATCCTGTTGAATTACAACCTCTGTAATAGACCTGGGGAAGAACCTTATTCTTGTCTTTCCAGGATCAAGATGAAATTGAATGCACATAGAAGGAAAGAACAATTGTTGTCACTGCCAAGTGAAATATGGTTATGTTGTGCTTGGCACCTGTAGTGCTTATAAGGAAAAAGTCTGTTGGGCTAATTGTGAGGGTGATGAATGACTGAAAAATGATCTTGTTTTGTCTCAAGAACTTCCTCAGATCTGTAGATTTTTCATGAGATAGCAGTTGAAAAAATGGATTTGACTTTGCAGATACAGGAAGATCCTTTCAGTCCTGTTTTTCTCATTCTTGAATGTTGGCACCATTGTTTCTCCTGACTTTCTGGGAGTTTGATTTAATAAAATTGGGACCAAATACACTTTCTCTTCAGGTTTCATTAAAAGGTAACTCCTCCATCCTCATTTCTGGTATCTTGTTGATGCCAGATCCATAGCTTCTTTTTTAATATGGGTGTTTTTCAATATCCTTAATGACCTGTTCCTGTGTCTTCCTGGTTTCATAGAACAAATATTTGCTTTCCAGCTATTTAAGGAAGCAATTACCATATTAGTGTCAAAGATGCAGCATGGCAAACATTTAGAAATCAATATAATTGTTCTTTAAAAGATCAATTCCTGTGCTAATAGTAAAGGAATGCCCTGAGATCCTGAGATTGGCACTGAAATGTTAAGAAGTTTAATCAGCCTTTGGAATGTGATCCAGCCAGAGGTCAGTCAGTTTGGGATCTCATTGCACCAGGTGCTGCACAAACATTAATTTCTTTGTGGAAGAAACCATCCTGTAAGGAAGCATTTGTGTTCTGTGTGAATCATAGAACCATTTAGATTGGAAAAAACCTCCAAGATCATCAAGTCCAACCTGCAAAGTGACATGTGTAAAGTGTTTCAGAGAGGAGCAAAACAAATGTTAAACAAAGATTTTGGCAAACTGCAAATTCATGAGTTCCCAGTAAAAACCTGGTGTTACTTGAAATGTTGGAGTGATCTGTCATGTTGCAAAACCATCAATCGCAGTTTTGCTTTGTGAATGTGAATTTTACATTATCTTGTCATCACCATGTCACTGGTGTTGGGCTTGGAGTCTTCTGGGTCAGCATTAGTGTGGGCTTTAAGATTTCTTTAATGTTCCTTTCAGGGTAGGAAATTAAATATTTTTATTGCAAATAACTACAAGCAGAGCCTGTAGGTTTTGGTGTACAATGAAACATGTAAAAAAACTCTTTTTTAATACAATCCTAACTTGTCTCCTGTCCCTGAAAGAGTTTATACAGTTACTTAGTCACAGTTCACTATACACTGATTGTATGTCATAAGAAAGAGGTTGTACTTGGAATTTTTACATAGATGGACACCAGTGTAATTCCACTGTTCCCTGTGATCACTCACAATATAATCCAGTGTCTGTCAGAGCAGAATTGGGGCCAATTAGCAAAACTGTGGATGTTGCATCAAAGCACAGTTCGGGGCAGGGACTTCCTGCCACGGCATCTGCAGCAGAACCAGATTGATGCAAATGAAGCAAACAGGTTGCTATTTAAGAGAGGTTTCCTGCCCTCTGTCAGATCTGTTAAGAACCAGCCTGGGTGTCCTGTGTGTGCCAGTTTACACCACATGTGAGATGGTCACTGTCTCAGGGGTGGCTTGTGAAACTAATGATGACAACAAGGGAGAACTTAGACTCAGTTTAGAAACTTCTTAGCTGCTGTCTGATGATGCTACTTCACTTCAAACTAAACCCGTCTCAGGGAGGAGCAAACTGACCACTTGTCATCTTTTCTGTGCAGGAAGAGGAAAAAAGGAAGGCAAAGGAAGAAGAGGAGAAGAGAGAATATGAAGAGTACCTGAAGCTTAAGGAGAGTTTTGTAGTTGAAGAAGAAGGGGTTGAAGAATCAATGACAGAGGAACAGGTATGTATGTTGGGCTGGTTCTGCAGTTTCCTCTTTTTGTTAGACTCACTGCATTCTGTCTCATGTAAAATTAACTTAAAAGTAGGAGTCAGCCAAAGGCTTTTGCTTGTGAATTGTGTACATGGCACAGGTTAACCTGGAATATTTCCTGGGGAGTGCTACACTTCATCCCACACTCCTGTGAGTTAGAGTGCTAAGGGAAATGTTTATTGTTGGAAAGGAGTTCCCCCTGCGTCTAAGGACTGAAATAAAACTCATTCTGGAATTTAGACAATCTCTTGCTGTCATCAGCTCTGCCTTAGCCACAGAGAGTGAGACAGTAAAGCTACATTTGAAGTTTGGTAGTGCTCACAGCTCTTGGGGGCAATTGCCTGGGTTTGGTTTTATTTTCTAGACCAACAGAACTGCTATGATATCCAAGGAAAAACTCCTGCCTTATAAGGCTTCTGTTAGGAGAATTCACAGGACACACAGTGCTCCTTCTGCAGCTGCCTGCAGATGTGCTGCAGGGGATAGTGGTTGAGATGTGATACTTGAAAAGTGAACCTTGAAAAGGTTTTGCTGCTATGGGAAACAGAGTTCTTACTCTGTCTGCTGAAAACCTGTTAGACTCAATTTATTTGCTATCAAATGCTGGACTTGCTCTTGGGTTGTAGCTGCCACATTTGAGCTGTCCAGTGCATTTCATGTGAAGGATTTTTTCCACGGCCATGTGTGTATTTGCTTCTCTGCTGAAGTGACCCTGTAGAATTAAATGGATTTGCTTTAGTGTGACTGAGTGTGGCTTTGGGCTGAGTAGCTTGTGCCTAATGTCAAGCAGTATTAACTTATTCCAAGTTCTCACTGTGGACCCCTTCCCACTAAAATAAATTCCTCCATCTTACCAGGACTGACACCAAGAGAAGTTGTGCCTGGTGATGAGGAATTCCCTAAGAACAGAGAAATGCAATATTTCTATTCAAAATTCCTTCAAAAATCTGTGCCTGTCCTATTAGAAGATGAGATTATGCCTAAATACTAAATTGCTCTACTTCAGACACCGTTTAAAGTTCCCTGTCAGGGATCAATGAATCTTTCTATATGTGAGAACAGAAGGGTGTTCCTCCCCTAACAGAGCTTGGCAGGCACTTGGCGGTGACTGAATCTCAACCTGAGACAACTTGGGCGGGGGTGGGGAGTTAGAACTTGAATTGTAGGTGATTTAAAAGTCATATTCAGAAATAATAACAGGTACATAGTTATTTGGAGACAGAAATGCCAAGCCACCCCTGCCTTGTGGTGGATGAAGTCCTCAAGCATTTCAGTATCCTGTTACCACAGCAGACTCTGCTTTGTGTTTTTTGGGCTGTTGTGCTGAAACTCCTGAAAATTAAGCTCCTGAGTCCAGAGCTAAGCAGTTAATTAAGGCTGATTGATTTCCAGGGTTGCAGAGTAACTTGATCTGCTGTTAACTTGAATGCACATTGTTTGCATTGCCTTTGAAAATGGAGCTGCTTACATTAAAGCAGTGGCTTTCAGGTGCTTAGCTTTGACAATGGGTTGAGCTTGCACATGTGTTGCACAGATGTGTGCTGCACTTGGGCACCTGCAGGAGCTGCCACCTGAGTCACTCTGCTCTGCCTTTGTGCAACATGTCCTCAGTATCTGTGTGTCACTTAATGCACAAACTCACCCAGACATGGTTATTTCAGGGAATGTATGATGGGAAGAATAAAAGACTCAAAGATTTCCTTTCAGAAAACACTGAAACACAGCTTGTACCTGGGCCACATTCTGTCTTAGAAAATTCCTGTCATAAATCCCTCGTAAAGATTAAAGCTGGATTATTTTTGGTTCCAGTTCAATCTCTCAGTGTGTATAGTTAAAACCTGGGAATTAAGCAAGTTAAACACTTGTATAATATTTGTACTCAGCAATTTTGTGATGCATTTAATGGTCATGAGTTTAAAATAACACTTGTTTTCCTTGCTGTATCCAGTCTCGCAGCCTTCTTATGGAATTCCTGGAGTATGTTAAGGTAAGCTGCCACTGGTCTTTCTCCTCCTTCTGTACTTGTAAAATACCTTTGGTCAAAGAGGGACATCTTTACTTCCTCTTTGATTTGCTTAAATATTTAGCAAGTAACAAAAGTCATATCTTAGCTCAGCTTGATTTACTTAACCACCATGAGCACATCCATCATTGTTAAAAGAGTTTGTAATCACAGCTGTGCCTTGGCTTTTTGGGGCAGGATTGTGGCTCTTTCCCACTTCCATAAGGCCAGGTGTGGTGGATCACCCTCAGAGTTTATGGACAGCAATCTTTGCTGTTGATTGGGATTTGGGGCATTTGTTGTTTGTGAATATCAGCTACTGATTTAGCAAAGAATCTTTACATCTGAGCTCAGCAGGAGTGCAGTTGCTGTCCCAGCATGTGCTGCTGTGCAGGGTGTGTTTGTGCCTCAGACACTGCCATTGGAAAGGTCAATCCCAACTTTTAATGTGATTCCTTTACTTGTTTTTATCTCTGCAATTTGTAGTGTTGTCTCAATGTTCAGCAAAGAAGATCACTTGTTTTAAACTGGGTGTGTTAGTCTCTCTTTCATCATATTGTATGGTTTGGGTATTTAAAACCTGTGGTGTGTCCATGATGATTTCTGCTTTTGATCTGTAAGGACAAACGCTTCTCTCTCCACTATTGCTATATCAAAGGTCACATGCATTTTTCTCCTCTTACTCTAACAATGTTATGCAAATCCTTTGTCCTAATGAATCCCTTTCTTCCTTCACTGGAAACTGAACTCTTAGCATGTCTGGCATGTGTGTGAAAGGCTTCTTTAGTAAGCAAATCACTTGTATACTTAGTGAAGTTCTAATCGTTTTGTAATCCAAAATCTCACTCTCTGGGCCGGTTTTGCATGTCCATTATACCAGCAAAACCCTGAACTCACAAACAGATTTACCTCATGAACTTACAAACAGATTTGCCTCGTGGATAATTCTCCTTAAGAGTCCATTGGATTGCCAGGCAAGTCTGAAAAACAGCTCTGTGTAGAGTCCCTCCAGAGCTCTGCTGGGCTGCTCTCTGCCTCATATGTCCTGGGATAACATAGGTAAAACAGAGATTTCAGTGTCCCTTGGGATCTGGGAGGGTTTCCAAGGAATAACACGGTAGGGTCAGATTGTGCCTGTTGCCCTAGTGGTTGTGGTGGACGGAACAGATTAGTCACAAACTCAAGTTCAGTGTTTGAGCACATGTCTAGTTTTGTATTAGTCACTTCATCCTGACGTCAGAGAAATTAACACAGGCTGAAAACCTGATTCAGAAGCACTTCAACACCTGATTTCCTCTGCAGAGATGAGCTGCAGAACTGGGGCATTGCTTTCTTTTACAAGTTAAAGTCTCTTTCTTTAATCTTGAAAGCATGCTTAATATATAGATTATGTATTGCCCTCGTCTTCTGTTCTCTTCACAGAAACTGTTGGCAGGAAGCAGTGCTAAGCTGCTCGTAGCTGTCTGAAAAAATGTATAAATTAAGAGCAATTGGCGTCTTTTAAAAATATAAAATTTAATTTAGCTCTTCCATTGAATAACTTTACTGATCTAACTGACTGGAGATAGCTCACCCCATGTTTCATTCCTGAGGGTGTTCGAAGTGCATTGCAGCCTCTTGCTCTGTGTCATCCCTTGCTGAGGGACAGCAGCAGCATCTTGCCTCAAATTGAATGAATTCAGGAAAATGTGGATATGTTTATGTTGCTTTAGGAAAGTAGAGTATAATTCTAAAACATGAAGCATGTGGTGAAGTGTTTTATTCCCTTGGGACCTCATGGTGTCATTGGATTTCAGAGTGTGTGTGGGGAATGCATCCTAATCCCACCCCACCCTCTGGGCTCTTATTCACAGCAGGATGTGTCTTGGAAAGTTTCCACTAAACTTGGTCACTGAGGGGGAATATCTTTTAGTAGAGGTTTAAATCCTGTTTTTCTTGTTTATGTGGCTTTGCACCAACCCCCCCAATCCTTTTAAAAGAAGATGTGACGAATGTTGGCAGTTCCCAGCTCTGAGAACTGAATTCCATGGACTGGTTCCAGTTCCATGTGTTCAGTCCATGGTATTCAGTTCTCTAGCTTGGCTGCATCAAACTTCACAACTACTAAATCTCTGTGTGGCTTTTTTTTCCTGATTTCATTAATGAAAGAGATTAATCTATTTCAGCCTCTATTTCTTCAATGTCCTTCCAGTGTACACTCAAGATCAGAACCAAATGAGTTATTGTTGGAAGTTTTGCATTTGTTAATAGAGATGCAGCTCCTTGGGCTGTGCAAATATGGATTTTAGGAATGTAGTCCTGAATATTAACTGAACTTTTCAACAGTTTTGTATTTTCCAAGCTCCATACAAACAGTACATTCTTTTGCAACTAAACAGCTGAGTTCCTAAAGCTTTGGCAGAGTAGAAAACAGGAACCAAGTAGCTCCAGATGAGCACACCAGGTGTTTTCTCTGGAGCTACAGAGAAGCATAAAACCAGATGTGAGCAGTGGTGACTGTGCCTTGACTGGGAAAGGCTGCAGGAAGAATCTCTCTCAAAACCAAAATGATAACTTGCAGTTCCAACACTGACAATTTTAATAAGGTGCTCACTTGCTTAGGAAGATTATTCTGGCATTAATACACATGACATTAGTACAACAGACTAAAGCACTTAATGCTGCCAGGCTTGGCTGGATTTTTATGTAGGTGCTGATCCAGTGATCATTTTAAAAGGTACTTTGAAATATCTCCCAAAATAAAAGGGATCCTGATAAAGCACACTGGAAATTAAAGGCAGGAGCTGAGAAACTCAGGTGGCAGGAGAACAGAGCCATGTCTGTGTGCTGGTGCTCATCCTGTCCTCCTAATGTACAGAAAAGTCCAGGATAAACCCAGGCAAATGTATCTGAGTCTTCCCCTAAGTGGGTCAGAGCACTCAGTCTTTCCACAGAGCTCACTAGTTTAAGTAACTTGAGAGTTTTTCAGGAGAGAAAAGTGCTTACTAGGAAAAGTTAGTTAGAGTGACAGGTTCTGCTTGGTCTGGTAAAGGAATTTTTTATAGGAATGGAAAAGGAGTATGCCAAACTTCCAATTCATCAGCTGCATTTAACTCTTGTTTGTTTCCATAGAAAACAAAAGTTATCCAGCTGGAGGACTTGGCCTCACATCTGGGTTTAAGAACACAGGTAAGCACTAACTTTTGGAGTGCAAGTACAGGCAATGAGTTTAAAAGGACAGGAGAGATAATAGGTAAATGAGGGTAACATCTATGCAAGTGTCTGAGCATTGCTGAAAATGTTTGGATTTTGGTGAGGAGCAGCAAAGTCAGCCCCAAAATGTGTCCATTCATCAAAGCACCAGTGAAGGACTGTTGGGTTACAAGATGGTTCCAGTGAAAAGTGCTCAGTCTGCCTCTTGCACAGCTGCCTGCTGGCTAATGGATCCTGTAGTGGTTGTGAATCTAGAAATGGAGCAATGTTTTCTGGTTTCCTGTACCAAATCTGATCTTGGGGTGTCCCTTCACAGCAGCTTACTTTGCCCTAGGTGCAGGCTGCTGTGCCTCTGCCTCTCTTTTAAACCAGACCAGAACTTCATGTCAGCATGCAGTGAGGCACTTGAGGAAATTTATCTGGTTGAAATCTAAATTAGAATTTGCTTCTGCAGTCATATAACTACAAGAAAAGGAGAGGCAGAACTGTGGAAAGCAGGGCTTAGATACTTAGGGTGTAGTGAGACTGCATGCTTGGAGCAACCATAGAGTTAACCCAGCAATTAATTCAGTTGTTGCTTTGGATTGGTAAAAGAGTTTTCCTCTTAAATGGAGCAGGAAAAGGTATTTAAAAATGTGAAATGTATTGAGCCAAGTTCTTGGAGTAGTACCTCAGTGTACTCCATGGAACTTGCCTGTTGCACTACACAGCCTTTCCCTGGGAAGATTCCTATAGCCACTCCTTGTTCCTAGAAGTGGCAATAAAAGTCTCTTTTGGGGGTAGGGGAGTTATTTTAACTCCCCAAAATGCAGAAAATTCAGCCTTCTAAGACCAAAGTGCTTGTTGCATCTGTCTGTGTGGGAATATGGATGTGTATCCTCCCCTGAAGTCCCGAGGGATTAAATATAAATCTCTGTTTGTAGTTTATCTAAACATGTGACATGTTTTTTGCTTCCCATTTGATCAGTTTGTTACCCCTTTTTCTCTTCTAAACAGGATGCAATTAACAGAATCCAGGACCTGATGGCAGATGGCACTCTGACAGGTGACAGCCAAAGCACAGAGGGGATGTTACTGTAGCTGGTGAAGAGGTGGTGCAGAAAACACCTTCCCTGTGGCAGAGAGAGGCTTCAGTGTCATTCGTGTTTTAGGGATCTTAGTAGGACTTGATAACTAGATATTTGTCTATATTTTATTTATGTATCCATCTGCTGAAGGTCTTTAGGGGTTGCTGAGCAGCCAGTGGGGTCTCCTGAAAGCTGAATTGAAAAGGATCACTGGGATGATCTGAGGGAGTGTTCCAGCCTGTCCTAGTGGTGCTGTGGCTAAAGCCCAGGACTGGGGGGCAGCATGCTGTGGGAGAAGCAAACATCCCAGAGCACTCCAGGATGCTGGAGTAAGTGAAGTGCCTGTTCCTAGCCATGTCCCCACACAATCCAAGATGGAATGTAAGCACAGACTGAGCATGTGGGGAGCTCCCTGTCTGAACAAGTCTGGTTCATTGCTGAGCAGTCCTGTTCTTTCCAAGGATGGAGCAGGGGAAGGTGCCAGCACAAACATTTAGTGACCGGATCCTGTGGTCATGGCTGAGGAACAGCTGCCTTGGCAGGTACATGTGGATACCCATTCGAAATATCTGAAAGTACTTGGAACCAAAGCATAAGGATGTGTACTGGCCTGGCTGTCTGCAGTCCAAAAGTCATGCCAGGCAGGCTCTCTGCCTGCTGTAATGTGTAAGAACAGAGAGATCTATTCTTGCTCTTGATGGAGCAACTGAAATATAGCAATTAAACTTTTTTCCCTTTAGGAGGGGAAGCTGGAAGGGCTGAGCTGGGCCCCACAGAGGCTCTGAATCCCTTCCTGGACCCTCCTGCTCTGCCTTTCTCCACCAGCTGCCTGGTCCCAGAATGCCAGCACCAAAAAAGGAAGAATGTGAAGATAGTGAAGGGTCTAGAGGGGAATCCATATGAGGAGTGGCTGAGGACAGTTGGCTTGTTCAGCCTGGAGAAGAGGAGACTGAGGAGAGACCTCATCAGGGTTTACAGAATCCTCATGAGGGGAAACAGAGGGGCAGGCACTGATCTCTGCTGTCTGTGACAGTGACATGGCCTCAGGGAATGGCATGATGCTGTGTCAGGGGAGGTTTAGGGGGATATTAGGCAAAGGTTCTTCCCCCAGAGGGTGGTTGGGCAGTAGAACAGCTCCCCAGGGTAGTGGTCACAGCCCCAAGCCTGACAGAGCTCAAGGAGTATTTGGACAATGCTGTCAGGAACATGGTGGGTTGTTGGGGTGCCTTATACAGGGCCAGGAGTTGGACTCGATGATCCTTGTGGGTCCTTTCCAACTCAGAACATTCTATGGTTCAATGAAGACAATGTACCTGAAGCAGATGCTGGGGTACCCCCAGCCAGCTGTGCACAATGAAAAGAACATGTTACTTTGAACAGAATGAGCCCTACCAAGGCACTTGGCCACTGTCACAGCCCTGCTCAGAGAGCCAGCAGCAGTGAGGAGATAAAAGCCTGGCTGCTGGCACACGGTTCTGCCTGCCCTAGATAGGAAGTGCTGTGCCAGCACTTGGAACGTCCCTTCCCAGAGCAGTGACTGATGTCTGTCGGGAAGTGAGAGGAGCCAAAGTGCTGACTTCAAGGTCCTTTCTTTCCCCCCATAGGTGTGATTGATGACAGAGGAAAGTTCATCTACATCACTCCAGAGGAGATGTCTGCAGTGGCTCGGTACATCAAACGCCGAGGACGAGTCTCCATCGCAGAGCTGGCCCAGGCCAGCAACTCCCTCATCAACCTCCAGCCTGACAGCAGAGCTGCTGCTCCCACTGTGGCCTGAGGAGAACACAGCAGGAGGTTAACCTTTTAATGAATAAACCACATAATCAAAAGCAAACAGGAACCTCTCTAGTCCATTTGCAGTGCTGGAGGATAGGATGCACTTTTGAAGCATCAGCTGCAAGACTTACCAGAAGTTTTGCTTTTCATTCTGTTAGAGCTGATATAAAATAGGACAACTGATTGTACCGCAGAGGCTGGTCAGGAACTTGGGGCTCAAACACTCTGATCCATCTGCACCCCAGAAATACCAACAATTTATGCCTTGGCAGTCAGTCTCATTTGACTATACTTAAACTTTTTATTGCTTCCAGATTTTGATCTTTGTATCAAATAGATTTGGGTTTGGTTGCCCTGAGAACTCTCCAGGCTTGCTCTGCAGTATGGAGCTGTTTAACTTTGTGGCAGTGATGGACACAGCCCAAAATAATAAGCATGTAGGTTGTGTCTGCTGTATCCACATTGGAAGGATAGAGCAAAAAGAAAATACTGTAAGTCTGTCTTTGTTCTGACTGAAACATGTCCTAAAACTTTGGAAAAAAGAGTTTGCTCTGATGTTAAAACTGCCAGAGGCTATCTCAGAAAACCTTTGCTATATGTTTTCCTTGGTTTGTATAATACAAAAAGGTTCCTTGCAGCCAAGCTGCATTATTTTCCTGTAGCCAAGAGACAAAAACCCCTCCAGGGAAAGTCTAAACTCATTTATTGTGCAGGCCAGTTCTGCTGATACCAGCCAGATTGTGATGATTCATCCTTTGAAGTCAGAGCCAGCTCAGAGTGTCTGAAGGCCTCAGACACCCCCTCCCCATGGCCTCTGTGTACTGGATGTTTGGGGGGGCTTAAGTAAAAGATTCAGACACTGAGTCATGCAATTAATGTTACAATTAAGTGATTATTAATGTATTAATTGCAGGGGTCGGGATATTTCCTGAATAAGAATATTTATTTTTTTTACTAATTTGTTAATTCTTTTTTCTGAAATCAAAAGAATTTATGTGGGTGAAGAGTAATTGGGGAGGGCAAGAGGAGCTGGTTATGTCTCTGCCTAGCTTAGAGATAACTTGAGTGGACTAAAAGCCACGTTATCAGTGGAATGAGACAGCAGTAAAACAATGGAAGGAAGTATATTTCCTTTTCATCTCTGCTCTGCTGCTGGATGTGAGTGCAGGAGTGGAGTTACAGTGCAGCACCACACGTTGGAGTGAAAAATCAGCACATCCTTAGTGTGGTACAGCTATAAGCAGAGGTTACTTGACATTTGAGGTTTGTAAAGTCTCTTAATTATTGATTTGATATTTAAAAATATTTGATTTTTGCATTTTTTGTCCTGTCTTAAACTCTTCCTATAATAAAGTCAACAATAGTGAAAGAATTGCAGAGATTTGTGTTAGAAATGGGCAGGGAGACAGTTAGGTAAGACACGACTATGTTGCTTTGCCAGGAGCTGCTCTGCTATCTTAATCCTCTTCAACCACTTCCCTTCCTGTTCTTTGCACTCAGTTGCATCATAGCAGCAGTCAGGAAAACTCATCTCTCTCTCATTTTGGGGTGCTTTGTGGTCTTTGCTGCATGTGAATTGAGAGGCTGAGGACTTATCTGAATGGGGAGGGGGAAATGTACATAACAAAAAGCAGGTATAGGCTTCTAACTCTGAAAACTCCTGTGGAACAAACTGTGCCCTGCCTTGAAGGAATTGTTTCACTTTTTCGGGTTTTCTAGGTGTCTGAAGATGATGAGGACAAATGGGTGTTGGTGCTCTGGCCCACAGGTCCTGTTCCACCTGTGCCTTGGGGAGCAGCCACTGCTCTTAAACTGTAACTCATTTTTGTACTGAAGAGTGTTTTGGTGTTTTATAGGAACTTAAAAAGCCCGGAGAGACATTTTGAGCTTGGAATTCAGTTGCTTCAGGCCTTTTGCTTGGATGGTGTATAAATGAAGTGATTCAAACCTATACTGCTGCTTCAGTCTGTGGAAGTGGAGGGGAAAGAAATCAAGGGCTGTGCCCCCAAAATTACTTCACTGACAAAATTCATAAAGCATGTGATAATTCCCATTTCATACATCCCATGAGAAGATACAGCTAAGGTGAAGGCAGT